AGCCACTCCAGACAGAAGTGACACCCGTTGAGAGAGCGCTTTTGCCATCAGTTGCTTTGCTTGTCTTTTATTCGTCTTGTTTTTTTTTCTGCCCTTAATTGGTGTCGAGCAACGAGTGATGGATTAACAAAAAGTAAAACGACCATTCCTTTAAAAAGAAGAAAGCATCCAAAAAATCCTCATTAATTTTTTCTCTCCAAAATCTTGCTCTGCTCCCTCCTCAGGGTAAACAATTATTGTGTGCTAGAGCACCTGGTTAAATATTCTCGCATTATTATTCTATGTATATTTTTTAGACCAAAAAAAAACAACTCATTACGAGTTTTTAGGCTCCAAACGAAGTGATGATGAAAATTACGCGTGAAAGCGATTATGGAGCATTTGATTATTTATTGACATCTCCGTTTTAAAGAACATTTTCAGAACTTCAATTAAAACGTGAGATGATTGTCGAACGTATGATGATTCACACGGTAACTATTCACAAATCCGAACTGGAATGACAGGGAGGTTACTTTTCCATAAACAGACAAAAAAAGAATGAAGAAAAATAACAATAGAGTTGTTATTCTTGGTTCTTTCGGTAAAGTTACGTAGAAGGGAAACAATAAAATAATAAAAATATAAAACAATACAATTCTCACGACGTTTCGACTGCAACACAAGCAATCATCATCAGGTGTGAAAACCACAATAAGAAAATTTGAAAAAGTGGCAGGTTTTTTTAACGTTAGCACCACGGATAGCGATTTGACAGTTTGTTCAGATGGACGAGTCCATCTATGTTTGGAAAAGAGGAGGGGGGAGACTAAAAATAATGGATGCGGTCTGAAAGCCACCGTAAGCGTGATCAATCAATTAAGACCCGAAATGGTTTATCAAATCCTTCCAATGATTGCTAAGCCAGAATCCATCTTCTCGGTTGAAATTGTCTCTGTGTTTGTATATGTGGATAGCCTCATGAACGAATCTCTCATGGTAGCCAGATGGCTTGCAAAGAACCGCTGTCTTGAAGAAGTCAATGTCATGTGAGCCTACTGAATTATAACAGTGATCTGCCACAGCCGAGGTGTTGGTCCTACCGTGTTTAGGTGTGCTTTGTGTTCACGAATGCGGTCCGAGACATGTCGTTTGGTTTCTGCAATGTAACTACTACCACAGACGCAAACTTAGTTTGTAGACGCCAGGGTACTGTATGTCCAGAATCACATCTTTTACAGACGGAACCAGATCACGGATTTTATGTAATGTGTTGAATCGGACCTGGATCTTGTGTTTATTCAAGATTTTGGAGATCTTTTTTTGTGATCTCCACAATGTAGGGTAAAGTGATGGTTTTGAAAGGCTCCTCAAGAGGGTCCTTCTTCATGGTTGGAGTGATACAGTGAGGGAAAAAAGTATTTGATCCCCTGCTGATTTTTTACGTTTGCCCACTGACAAAGAAATGATCAGTCTATAATTTTAATGGTAGGTTTATTTGAACAGTGAGAGACAGAATAACAACAACAACATCCAGAAAAACGCATGTTAAAAATGTTATAAATTGATTTGCATTTTAATGAGGGAAATAAGTATTTGACCTCCTCTCAATAAGAACGATTTCTGGCTCCCAGGTGTCTTTTATATAGGTAACGAGCTGAGATTAGGAGCACACTCTTAAAGGGAGTGCTCCTAATCTCAGCTTGTTACCTGTATAAAAGACACCTGTCCACAGAAGCAATCAATCAGATTCCAAACTCTCCACCATGGCCAAGACCAAAGAGCTCTCCAAGGATGTCAGGGACAAGATTGTAGACCTACACAAGACTGGAATGGGCTACAAGACCATTGCCAAGCAGCTTGGTGAGAAGGTGACAACAGTTGGTGCGATTATTCGCAAATGGAAGAAACACAAAAGAACTGTCAGTCTCCCTCGGCCTGGGGCTCCATGCAAGATCTCACCTCGTGGAGTTGCAATGATCATGAGAACGGTGAGGAATCAGCCCAGAACTACACGGGAGGATCTTGTCAATGATCTCAAGACAGCTGGGACAATTGGTAACACACTACGCCGTGCAGGACTGAAATCCTGCAGCGCCCGCAAGGTCCCCCTGCTCAAGAAAGCACATATCCATGCCCGTCTGAAGTTTGCCAATGAACATCTGAATGATTCAGAGGACAACTGGGTGAAAGTGTTGTGGTCAGATGAGACCAAAATGGAGCTCTTTGGCATCAACTCAACTCGCCGTGTTTGGAGGAGGAAGAATGCTGCCTATGACCCCAAGAACACCATCCCCACTGTCAAACATGGAGGTGGAAACATTATGCTTTGGGGGTGTTTTTTCTGCTAAGGGGACAAGACAACTTCACCGCATCAAAGGGACGATGGACGGGGCCATGTACCGTCAAATCTTGGCTGAGAACCTCCTTCCCTCAGCCAGGGCATTGAAAATGGGTCGTGGATGGGTATTCCAGCATGACAATGACCCAAAACACACGGCCAAGGCAACAATGGAGTGGCTCAAGAAGAAGCACATTAAGGTCCTGGAGTGGCCTAGCCAGTCTCCAGACCTCAATCCCATAGAAAATCTGTGGAGGGAGCTGAAGGTTCGAGTTGCCAAACGTCAGCCTCGAAACCTTAATGACTTGGAGAAGATCTGCAAAGAGGAGTGGGACAAAATCCCTACTGAGATGTGTGCAAACCTGGTGGCCAACTACAAGAAACGTCTGACCTCTGTGATTGCCAACAAGGGTTTTGCCACCAATTACTAAGTCATGTTTTGCAGAGGGGTCAAATACTTATTTCCCTCATTAAAATGCAAATCAATTTATAACATTTTTGACATGCGTTTATCTGGATTTTTTGTTGTTGCTATTCTGTCTCTCACTGTTCAAATAAACCTACCATTAAAATTATAGACTGATCATTTCTTTGTCAGTGGGCAAACGTACAAAATCAGCAGGGGATCAAATACTTTTTTCCCTCACTGTAGCTTTGCGGATTGTGTAGTCTGAATAACCATTAAGGGGGGGAGTGGGGGGGCGTTCTTCCTAAGTGACCGCCAGCTGTAGACGCTGCGTCCTCGCGGTTTTGGTTCCAGGCCGTCGTTCCACTCGGGCCCTCGTTGGCTTGGCCATTATTTCGGGACCGTCTCTTTTTGAACTCAGGTTGTTGAGGGAACAAGCGGACGGCGCTCTGCGTCGCGCACTTTCCGGACGCGCTTCTGCGACCACCTGCAACGCAAAGTTGCAGGAAGCCACTGAAAGCCGTGCACTTGTAAATCAAGATTGATAACTAATTTATTTAAGACTGCTTTGTGTGTTTAGTTTGCTGTTCTTCCCCCACACCTCCGATTAGCACGGTCGGCTACGTACGGTACAAAATAAGGTCCACATACGTACGTACGTACATTGGTCGATTGGTGCCAACCACATCCCGACGTTGGGCCAACGTTGGCATGTTTCCTGGGTGATGGTTGCGTATAAAAACGCGCAAAACCTCTCACACATACGGTTCTGGTGGAATACGACAACGTTATTCACGAGGAGGGTACGTGTAAAACTCCTCCGTGATCCTCGGTCGTGAATGAAAAGGAGGGAGCTACAGAGCTCAGCAAAGGATGTGGTGTGTGGGGCGGGGGGGGGGAAGTGACGGCAGAGAAAGAAATGAAAGTGAAGGAGTTTTGTTGATCTTCTTTGGGTCTTTCGGTAAAGTCACGTAGAATGAGAATAAAATAATAAAATAATACAATAAAATTCTCACAACGTTTCGGCCACAACACAAGTGGCCTGTAGTAGACGTTTCGGCCACAACACAAGTGGCCTTCTTCAGGTGAAAGGAGCAAACCTGTCGGGACTACAGAGCTACAATGAAGCTCTGTAGTCCCGACAGGTTTGCTCCTTTCACCTGAAGAAGGCCACTTGTGTTGTGGCCGAAACGTCGTGAGAATTTTACCGTTTTATTGTATTATTTTATTCTCATTCTACGTGACTTTACCGAAAGAACCAAAGAAGACAAATCCTTGCAGTCACGAAAGCTTTAAATCGAGAGTTTTGTTGAGCCACGTGAGAGCTCGACAGAGACCAGCATTCGCCAGAGCGGCCTGGCCCACCGATGTGAGAAAAGCAAGACAAACAAAATAAACAAACAAAATAATTGAGCGCAAATGGAGCCAAAGAGAAATTGGTACAAAAACAACGGTGTCGAAACACAACGACATCATTTTTTGTTATTTCGCCAGGTAAGAAGGCCCACTGAACTGTGTAGCGCTTTTTCAGAAGATACCTGGCCACAAACGATAGCTCATAAGTGGCTTATCGTCACGTGGACATTTATGGCAGCCAAATGATACTCTGACCGCGTGATGCTGACTCTAAATGTCACTCATGTCAGTCAGCCAGTTTCTTTTGGGCAAAGGCCCTTTCAGCTGAGAAGCTCTTTTTCAAAGTCGACATGCACCGTCAACGATCCGTGTGGCAGATCACAGCTGGGGCGCTCCCGTGTGGGATGTATGTTCGTACCGTGCAGGATGTTGAACTTCTTTCGCACCGTACGTAGCCGACCCCGCTAATCGGAGGTGCAGGGGAAGGACAAAAAAAAACTAAGCACAAAAAAACTATTCTAAAGAAATTCGTTTTCAGTCTAGATTATTTAAAGTGCATAGCTCCAGTGGATTCCTGGCATCGGAATGAAGAGCATTCCAGACGGCCACGGAAACGCATCTGACAGCGCGCGATGCAGTGACCGTTTTTGTTCGACGGGCAGCCACAAGCCGCCGCTGAATGCGAGGATGACCGGAGTTCGCGTGACGGTTTATGCTCATTGACGAGATCAGCGGTGTATCGAGGTTCATTTGTGGCAAGCACTTAGTGTGTAACGTTCATGCAGCGGACAGTTGCATGGAGAGCGGCCTCCACCAACGCCCCTACTGAGGGCTCCTCTACGTGCCGTGTTGCGTCGCTGGTCGCGTCTACGTCGTGGTGAGGTCTCCTCTGCGTGCCGTGTTGCGTCGTCGTTGCAGCGTACATCGTGATGGAGAAGTGGTGGTGTCACATGCAGCCGTGCAACGACGGAGAGGAGTGCAAGGTGCTCCCGGACCGCACCGGCTGGAGCTGCTCCTCCGGCAACAAAGTGAAAACCACCAAGGTGCGGCACACCAACCACGGGCAGCCACACTGGCGAACAAATATAGATAAGAAATAGATACTGCGGAGATAAGATATAGATGAGGATTTAGTGATGAGTCATTTTGCGCGTACATGGTTTTCAGTGAAACTGCTGCTGAACCCGCCTGTACTAGACATCTGTGAAAAAGAGCTTCATAGCTCATCAGATTTCTCCTTCTCCGCTCTAAAATAAAGATTCTGATTCTGAAGGCCGCTGAGCTATATAGCACTTTTTTTAGAAGCGACCCTGGCCCACAAATGATAGCTCAAATGAAAGCGGCTTATCATCATGTGGAAATGTATAGCAACCAAAAACGCATTGATTGGTTCGATTCGTGTCGATTGATTTCAGGGCACGCATCTCTCCATGCTGCGTTATCATGTACACCCTTCACATGTGTGCTTGTATTCTAAAGCCAGAAGCTTACCTTACGTGCTCTCTGAAGGTCTGGCTTTCTAACAGATACACGCGAAATGAACGCCAAAGTTATTGTCAATATCGTAATGCATTTCGCGGCAATAGATTAATTGAGTGCCACTGAGATCTCTGTTATCGCAATATTTATCGTGATCCGGTGTTAGGTTTGCATTTGTATCACCCTGCGGCTACGGAGATAATGCAGTGACATTAATTCAATGGATTGGATAAATACAAAGCGCAGTACTTGGTTTACCAAAATAATGACCGCACTCACGTAAATCATTACGATGAAGGCCAGTGTCCACTCGCTGGGGTGAGGGGTCAGAGTGTTAAGCCGGTGGTAGGTATGCACGTGCGCTGTTAATGCAGCACTGTGTTGGCAGCAGGTGTCGATGTCAGGGGCGAGTCTCTCCATAGCAATTGGAAAATACATAATTTGGTGAATGCGTGCAGATATTTTAGCCGGTGTGGTGGTGGCCTCTAACTCACAAATGTAGAGGCAGCAGCGAGGGTCGGTGGATTACACGCAGATGTTGTTTAAACTCCCTTCCCGTGGGCGTCGAGGAGGAGCCGTGCCCTGTCTCTCCAGGGGCAGGCGGTACAGGAAAACGTTGACTTCCTCTGTTCCGAGTCGTGCTGTCAAAACTCGCACGCGTGTGTATCCTCCGGGTGCTCCAGTCTCCTCCCACGTGAAAAGGCGAATTGATTTTGCCGATAACACCTTAATATAGAGAGGATCGCAGAGCTTTGGAGGGAGAATTTAGTTACCGGCTCACCGCCTTGCTGCTCTTCCTGCTTGTCGGCGGTTCCTTGCGCCAACGAGTCGTTCTCTCTTTGAGGTCGAACGACTCCACGGGAACTTTTTTTTTTTTTACCACGATCAAAATGATGAAAAAAATAAGCATAGGCTTTACCCTTCCTGGCCATAAAACAAGAGGTGTTAAGATGTTCAAACACCAAACAGATATGTATTTCAAGGCATAAAGTCTGCATTAACCGCACATACTTGTACTCTTCAACTTTTGGCGTTCTCTGGTCTAACACTGGTGGTGAGACAAGGCCGTAAAGAAAGCTGTCTCTGGTGTAGGCCAATCAGTTTCAAAGACAATGCAAATATTATCAGAGCGTGTTTGTTTTCATGTTTTTTTCCACAAGTTTGTGTGGTTAATGCAGAATTGATTCCTCAAAATAGCTATGTATTTGGTGTGCTACAAGTTGAAATTATTATTATTACAAATTATCGTAAGTCTGAATATGAAATTGATGATCTGAGCCAGCCATCATTGGCTGTGCACACTCAAAAGCGTCGCTTTATTTTTTTTTATCTCAACCAAATTTGATTAAATTCCAGCTCTGCCACGTGACGGGCATCTATCCACATGCGCGTGCGGGACTGTGCAGTGCCCATAGCGTGGATGAGAGGTCAAACAAAGGGATCTCGGTTGCAAGCATTCTCTGCAACAGCACCTTTCTTTCATAAGCCATCATCGTTCTCTTAACGCGGGGGCGATGCGCTGCTCGGGAATGTCTTCGCATTGGCGTTTATTCATCCCGGATGCCAATAGCCACCGTTGCTATTGGTGGGGAGGTATGAATAAACGGGTGATGAAGCCAAGCAAACCAAAAAGAAGTCTCACCCGGCTCAAGGCCGTCCTTGAGCCACCGTGGGTGTGCGAGATAAGGCTCAACCACGTGCCAATATCAACCACGGTATGGAGCACTGCACAACTGGCACGCAGTCTCGCGTAAAACAACAACACAAACAACAATATCCATGAAGTTGTTTATTTTTGTGTCTCTTCCCTACGACTGGAAGGAGGTTATTAACTCGGGTTTGGGAGCGCTTGGGAGGGTATTTGGCCTACTATTTCCAAACAGGCCGGAAGTCTTTCTTGGACGAGGTGGGAGCTTCCCCACACTTTGAGCCCGCAACACGTGAGCCTGATGGAGTGATTTGTTTAATCGTCGCTCGGACTCGAGCGACAGAAGCCGGGAAAAGTTCCACTGTACAGCCAGCTGTTCATTATTTGGCATCGTGGGTGGAGCGGTGGCCCGGATAAAACTCAAATAATCCGATCACGCAAAACGTACATACGTACATTTAGGGCAACAAACATGAATTAATTACCCGTGTAGAGAATGAACTCAACATATTCATCAATAACACTGAATAACGACCATTGCTCGAAACGTCGCCTATTACATCTTTGTTTTTTTTCCACCTTTTTAAGGCCACGGTGTTCTTATTGACGAACCTGTTGAGTTATTTTGTTCATTTGTTTGCTGTGCTTATGCACCACTGCCAGCAGCAGCGGCAGGAGCAGCAACATCACCGAATCATTAGTTCTGTGCGGTTTGATCCGTGATTGATGTAAAATGCGCCGTCTGTTATTTTCCATTGTCTTGAATTTGCCGGTTTACGTGCCGCCGTGATTGCGGTCACGTGGGTACAGAGTCGCTGCCCCCTCCCCCCTGCCCCCCCCCCCATTGAGTGAGGAAGAGCTGATGGTTAAAACGGTGCGGGCGTAAAAATAATAGCATCACTTTCAACAATTGCATATATATCGGTAATCCGGGTCATCTACCAGATTTAACTGTGGACGGAGAACATGCTTATTAAAATATTGGGCAAGCTGTTCCAAAAATGCGATTTGCTAAGGTGTGAAAAGTGTCTCACTAACACATTTACAAAAAAAAAACACTTGGCATCTGTGATTATTTAATAATCTTTAATCTGCTTGTGTGTCGGCTTAAACTTAAAAAATCGTCGTCTCGAACGCTGCTCGTTCGAAATAAGTGTGGGTTTAAAAGTAAATTAGCTTTCTTTAAAAAGTATATAGATTTGTGTTGATGCTGCAAATGACTTATCATTTTGGACTGCTATTTCATAATTACATTTAATATATCTGAGCTTCTCTGCAGCGCATTGAAAATATGGAGAAAAAAAATAGGCACGCAAGAGACACATGCCAAATATGACATCTTTCAAACACATCATAAACGCTGTTTAGCTATTCCAGAGGTGTTATCCTGAATTAAAGTTTTATTTTTTTTGCGACGAGGTCACATGCAATTCAGTGATAAATGTTGCGAGACTATGCCTCCTGTGCATTTCACGGGGAAATGACGAGAATCGGCACATAAATAGATGGGCACGTATAAAATTTACGTGTTAAGAGGTAACATCACCTCAACAGTCTTGTTTTATTCTTTTTGTTCGGTAAAGTCACCTAGAAATAAGAAATAATAAGAAGAAGAAATAATAAAATTACATATTATTTCCTCTTATTATTATTTCTTATTTCTACGTGACTTTACCGAAAGAATTAATAAAATTACATATTATTTTTGCTTATTATTATTTCTTATTTCTACGTGACTTTACCGAAAAAACCAAAGAGTAATTCCTGCAGTCACGAAAGCGCCAAATCAAGTATTGCTTTATATTTAAATATCACCCTGCACAGCCGTGATCGATCCACTGCTGAATGAAAGCCTCTCCACACCTCACTGTAGCGACGTTTGAACTACCTCGCCTGGTATACAGGAGGTCGTGGGTTCGATCTCGACCCTGACAATACCTGTTCTCCAGTTTTTCCCCTCCCTCATTTAAAATCGACGTGCAGTTAGAGCATTTGGCTGCTATAAATGTCCACACGGTGATAAGCAACTTCATTGAGCTGTCATTTGTGGCCAGATCACTTCCGAGAAAAGAACCACGTAGCTCAGCGGGATTTTTACCTGGTAAAATAAATCAAAGAAATTGTCCATAGTTTCTTCCATGGTGTCTGGCCAGCCTTGAAGAGTAGGCCAAAGCACTCTCTCGTGAAGTTCTCTGGAGCTCTCGCCAAGTGGGAAGGGCCCCTTTTCCCACCAGCGATAAGCTTCAGCGCCTCGCCTTTTTGCCACCTTCACTGTGCGATGCACAAATCTGTACACCCGTGAAAAAGATTGTGGCTCTTTTAACAAACAAACAAAAAAGACAGCGACAAAGGTCATCTAAAGTAGGATCATGTACCTTCTTTTTCAGTTTTTTTCAGTTTAATTTATTAGGTATAACTCTGTGAGCCATGCGGCTCTTGAATCGGGTGCAACCGCAACAAACAAAAACATGAACACGAGACATCTTAAAGTGACTACGCGCAACACAAAAATCCAGAAAAAAACCCCCAGCAAAGTCTTCCAGAAAAAAAAACACCGTCTATCAACGCACGTTGTCCATAGCAGTGCACGTGTAACTTAATTGTTAACCTTTTTTGTATGAATGTCTGTTTAACTAATATCCTGCTTGCTCTGGTTATAGGTCACCCAATAGTGGTGAGGAAGTGGATGAGAGGATGATGAGCGGGACTCATAATTCTCGGACAAGTCCCGCGGTGGGTGGATTGGGGGGGTGGGGGGTGGTGGTGGTGGTGCCATCGCACGCGACGTCGGGAGCAGAGAGGCGACGACGCGGAGCGGTTGGAGGGCGAACGCAGCGGGAGACGTGGGGGGACTCTTTGGGAGGTCACAGCAGCAGCAGCGGCGGCGGCGGCGGCGGTGGCGACGGCGCACACGGGAGCGATCCTGATGGCAACGCGCGGATTTGTCCCCCGTGAATATCGGGAGCGGAAATATTTCAGAGTGTCGTGAGAACTTCTACGTGTGATCCTAAACCGAGAAGACTTGCCTATGGCGTCGGCCTGCAACGAATACGTGTTCCACAATGCACGATATTACATTTCAGCCGGAAGATTCGACGACGCCACAAGTGATTTTTTTAAATTTAGTTTTTCCCCTGCAAATAAATTATTGAATCTTTTTTTTGGAATCCGTTTAAAAAAAAGTTCACGCTCAGCATACCTTTTATTTTCTTCGTCTGCACATTGGGCTGTCTTCAACTTCATATTCGTCTTTGTGGCAAGCTTCAAGATGTTTGCTTTGGGTGAGACGTTTCTCCGGACAAAACGCTATGAACTGTAAGAAGGGGGGGGGGGGGGAAAAAACATGAAAAACGAAAGAAATACGTACAAAGTTCATAGGATTGAAATGTCACAATTTTTTTTAAATGAATCATGTAGAATAGTAGAAATTTAAATAAATACTGCTGCTTTGGCATTATTATTATTATATTTAGCTTTTTCAGGTTTAGCGGACTGGAAATGTGCATCCATTTGGATACGGGGGAAGTTCTGCTGACAAAAGTAAATATGTGTTCAGTGATATTTATTTTTTATGGTAATAATTACCAAGAACGGGCAATTAAAACATGCAGTATGGTCATGGGAATTTTGAGTCAAATATTAGATACGTTTCAAATGTTTTAATTAGTAGATCTGGAGCTTGACTAGTTATGCAAACATATTGCATTTAAGTTATTATCTGCAATGTATGGTAGAAAGATTAAGTTTAATTGCCGTTGCTGTGGTTGTACATTGGTCGTTGAAGACTATGGATGCTTTCTAAAAATCGAGTAATTTAGTTTGTAAAATGAAAACCTACGAACGATCTCATATAATCGGCAACGATTATTTTCCAGATAAAAAGCGAATATAAATCCCCACCCAGCTGTTAATTTTAAAGTTACGTACAATTTAATTTTCTGCAAGTTGTGTGACAAGGCTATATGGAAAGGCAACACAAGCTGGTGAAATGAATATCAATATCTTACACTCATCATACTTGTGCTCATTTTATTATTAATGCCAAAATCTTCACATTAAGGTATATATTGAATAAACTACATATGTTAGTTTTCGTTTCAGCCAGGCATTTAATGAACGTTCTTTGTTAGAAAAGAAACAGTTCCATCGCACCTGAGAAAAGGTTATTATTATCTTCAAATTGTTCTTGTAAATATCATACCCATTAAAGGAATCTCAAAAGCAGATTGCAAAGCGTGTGATGCTCTTCTCTGTGGGCTAACGGTTTTTTTTTTTGAAATGCAAATCATTTATTTATCGACTTCGCATCTCCAGGTGGTATTGAATAATTTAGAATTTCTGACAGACTTTTTTAGAACATTATTTAGCCGGACGTAAGTCCCGCCACATCTGTCTACCATCGGATCATTCCTTTGATTTATTACATTGATTAATTTCTTTGTTCGAATGTTTTGAGAGTAACAGCCCACCGACACTGTTCATTTGGCTAATACAACCCAAACAGGGCAACACGCAGTGAAGGCGGATATTTGTGAAAGCTGCCTAATGCCGCACACGTGTTTGCATTCACCGACAAAGCCAATGGATATTTTGATGCACAGGACAAACATGAGCGGACCGTTAAGGGTGTTTTGGCAACAAAAAAAAGAGGCCTCGTGGTCATTAATAACTTCAAATATTTATACCGCTGCGGTGGTATCTCACGCGGGTATCTAGTGCACGGTACGCCACGTGGGTACGCCACGTGTCACACACCACCGGAGGGGCTGGCGGCACAGACGGAAGCCACTTTGCCACCAGAACTGAGAAGTATTGCTGTTTAAATTCAAAATGCATACTCTAGTGTGTATATATCTGCGTATAAAAATGTATATATTACATTCTGGGAATTTCGCTTTTCACAGCAGAACCACCCTTTGCCCATATTCTTGGCTTGATAGGAAGGCAGTGCGTGTTTCACGATTGTGATTGGGGGGGTCTTTATAGCCTGTACTTTTAATCGTGTGATTTTTCCCAGGAGTAAAATGAAGATATGCGGAGTAAACAAGACAACTCGTTTTTGTTGTGCGTGTGTGAACTCTGCATATGTTCCCGATTTTTGGGAATTTTCAGATTAGCTGAAAGAAAACAGAAAATCAGATGGTCCGAATTATTTGCTTTGCTTCGGATGAATCCAACATGAGAATTCAAATCGATTTTTTTTGCGTTTTACCTCATAAAACTGGGTGTCCCGTGGCATCGAGGAATGCCACTTTTTTTAATGATGTTCATTTACCAAAATATCCAAACAATGTACGAAAATATTTCGTTGAAAAATCTGGAGCAAAAAGTGTTTTACGTCTCATAAAAAAAATCTCTAATGGGAACAAAATAAATAAGCAATGTCACCTTCATATATCTGTCTCTCCATATCAAAACAAAATACTTCTCACCGAATGTAAGAATATGTATTACTCCAGGAGCACGTGAATGGGGTTAATACAACGAAGGAGAAAACGTTATCGGCTGTGATAACGGGGCCTTCACTCCGTTGTCAGCCGTGCAGTGAACGAAAGGACCTCGCCAACTGCTGTGAACAGTTAGGTTATGAAAAACAAACACCGTGTTGAAAAATGTTAATTACGGGCCAAATCCTGGGGTTTCGTATGCATCGGTTTTTCTCCATGTACCTCCTGTAAATCGTTAAAGGCACTGGCCAAAGATCCCAATGCAGGGACCTCCTGAAAATGCATTCTTGAAAACTCGGCGAGGCTTTATAGGGTAAATAATAGGCAATATTATTATGATTATTATTACTCCTACTGTTTTGACATGCAATATTTTGTATACCTTTTACACAAATTGTCTTTCCCACGTCATTCTGCAACCAGTGCTGTCGCCAGCATTCTTCTCATAATCGTTCAATGAGTTGTGATCCGTGCCACTGTTTTGTGCTTTGGCGGTTTGGAAAATGAACACGAAGCTAATTTTCATGCAAAGTAAGAGAGCGTTTGTGTACTCGACGAGTTATTATTGGTTTGCTTGGCAATGCAGCATTAATGAGATCACCGGATTTTTTTCCCCATGCGTGCCGTCAAAGTGAGTCTTAAAAGCAGAAACCACAGGCATGCGGCGAATGAAAAATGCTTAAAAGAAAAAATACAAAAATACGCGGCCGGACCTCTGAGAATCATGGCCCAACTGCCACAGGGCTAACTTTGATAAATGTGGAGGAACGCTGGCGCCGTATTTCCACAATACATCACTGTGAGACTTCGTTTGCTAAGTGACAGCTGGATTTGAGGAAGGATTGGAGAAATATATATTTGGGGTTTTTCTTTCTTATTCCCACGTGAATTAAATGCCACCGTGTGGCGAGCCTTTGCCTCTGGAAATGCCAGTGGTAATTTCAACAAGATGTGTTCCCCCCCCACCCCCCCCCCCCACTTCTCCCCAATATACAGCAAAGAATAGTGGATGAGAATCTTAAACACAAGAGGCAGATCCCATTTATGATAAATGAAATTGCAGCTAAATGGTTCCCAAAAATGCCGATGGATTACTGCTTAGCTTTGCAAAAGTGTGCTGCACAGAACAATATTGTACCACTGCGCTACTTGGCGTCCTCTGGTCTAACACCATTTTGAGACGAGGCTCAAAAGAAAGCTGTCTCTGGTGTGGACCAATCAGTTTAAAAGACAATGCAATTATTGTCAGAGTACGTTTTTTTTTGTTTGCATTCCGACCACAAGTATTGTGGTTAATGCAGACATGATTCCTTGTAAACGGTTTCAGTTTGGTGTTTTAACATCTTAACACTTGAATTTCCATTTAAAGCTTTCGTGACTGCAGGGATTCATATTCTTGGTTCTTTCGGTAAAGTCACGTAGAAGGGAAACAATAAAATAATAAAAATATAAAGCAAAATATTTTTTATAAACAATATATTTTTATTATTTTATTGTTTAAAAAGTGCTTTCTTGAATGAAACTAAGTGACCCAGTTGATATTTCATTTTCAAATATTCAATCTATATGCTCCTCATTATAGTCACAATTTACAAAGCTTTGTTACTAACCTGCTGGACTAGGCCCACCCCGCAGCTCTGTCTATCATGGGGGTTGTTTGACCATACTTCACCATGCTGGTCAGCGTGCGTTGGTGAAGGAAAGGCGTCTGGATTTCACTCACTCCTGACGTTAGCCAGTACCTGGGAATCAAACGTATGTCCCAGGGTGACAGTGCAGTGTGCTAACGACGGTCCCACCACCGTAGCTATGTTCCTGAACTACATTTACCTTTTGGCAGCGGGGGAGTGCCAAAATGAAAATAGTTTTGCGGGGGTAATGGATGAAACGTGGCCCGGACGGACGGCGCTGTCTCCCTCACCCCAAGTCGCGGCTGTACAATTCGGTTGAGTTCAAGTTGAACAGAATAATCACCGCACTTGAAAGCAGCGCTCGCCACGATGTAAGAAACTCGCAAAGTCGCGAGTTATTTTTTTTTCGCTTTTCTTCATGTTCGGCATTTCGTTGTGTGTGTGTGTGTCCCGCTCAGGAAGGTGATGCGTTACGGTTTAAAATTATTGATTGTATAAATAGTGCACTGTACAGCGGTGACAGGTTATTTTCAACGCTGTTATGTCCGTGTAATATTAGGATGTAGTACACATTTTGCTTTGCACAGGATTACATTCCCAACTATAATGGATGCGACCTTACATTTCTGGGGAAAAACTGCTCTTGACAGAGTGATTTATTTAACTGATTTCATTTTAAGTATATATTATTTAAATAGGATGGCGTGGAGTGGTGGTGCGCTTGCACTATGAACCCACGTAGTTAAGTCTGAGTCTAGGCCAGGGTTCATCTTCAGCTGCGCCAAACAAAGCCCACGACAGACACTGCGTGGGAAGATTGTCGTCCATAAAATTACGAAAGGGGCATAATGTTATTATTTTATAGACCATTTGCAATTCCCAGCCCGTTATCCACAACTGGATTGAATCCTCTCCATACCACGCCATATAAATGAGTTGTTTGGCCACACATCACAGAGCCTGCCAATGCCATTTCAAATATCATTCGCTACCGGTGTTATCCATGGTTAGGAATCAAACTCGGGTCGCCTGGTTCATCGTGCAGGGCGCGATCCACTTGGCCACCACCACCGCCGTTGTTTTATTTGCTTTAATTAAAGTGAGACGCATGACTGAAAATGCGGTTAAAAACCCAAGCAGTCTGGATGTCACCAGGAGTAGCTACCATGGGGTTCGATTCGCTCTCCCCGCGTGCCCGCTGAAGCAATGAGACACTTTTTATTGTTCTTTTTTTTAAATCCCCACCACCTCTATCCACCCAGAAATATAAATAAATGGGTTCACCGCAGTGAGTAAATTGGCAGGTCACGTGAGGTGCGATAAAGTGTGGGTGCGAATACCTCTTCCAAGACATCTGGCCCCACATATAGGCCGAATACTAAAACTATAACCTAAATAAATTTGTATTTCACCAGATTATGTCCCACTGAGCTATATAGCTCTTTTGAGAAGCGACCTGGCCACAAATGACAGCTCAACGAAGTGGCTTACCACATGGAAATGTATATCAGCCAAAATCGTCTAAAACGCACCTTTCTCAATGTGGAGGGAAAAAAACTGGACGACCCGGGGGAAAATCCACGCGATCATGGGGATGAGAAAAAAACATGCAAACTCCAAATATACAGGCATCTGCCAGGGTTCGGATCGAAGCCACGATCTTCCTGTATACCAGGCGAGGGAGTTAACATCTCGCCACCGCGGCGCCCCCCACGGTGAAGAGAGAGAGAGGGAGGATCTCTCGAGTCAATTCTCATGGGAGCTCTTTCGCCAGCAGTGGCTGCGTGCAAGACATTTAGGGCTGCGTTCTCAGCACATTTACCACTGTGTACCCATTAATGCAGCGCAACGTTTTCTTTCCAGATTTAAATGCATAAGCAATTAATACGTAATTGCCCGATTACACCTTTACCGTTTATTATTTACCAAGAAGCCACTGTTTGTGCTTTCAGTGATAGGCGCAATGCGATTCGTACACGTTCCTGGACAGGATGAACAAATTTTGCCGAAGATTTATTACATTGACGTGACATAATAAAATAAATAGCAATGTTAGGAGAAATAACTTATTACAAGCACAATGCATTGCAGGTCATTACTGGAATATCATTACACGTGGTGACGGGCATGTTTTATAATTCATCACAA